GCTCAGTCGTCACTTGCTTTTGTGGTTTCAACACGAACCCTATTTGGGAACGACAGTGTGCACGTAATCAGACATCGCTAGCCACGATGGAGGGGCCATGGTAGTCTCGAGATACGTCGTTGGAGCAGCGCCAAATTGGTCTAGTGATGGGATGACGTTGGCTTTTTGAAGTACATATGCATACTAAAAGTTAATTTTCCCCAGCGGACGTGTCCTTGCGGGAACCGGTTGGAGGCGCCGGAGGCTGAGGGAGCAACGCCAGCCGCACTAGCGTATTGAGACGACAGGTGGTTCGCACTCGAGACCAATTAATTCTAAAGGCAGAAGAAATGATAAGATGAAACGGCGTTCGGGTTCTTTTCAGCCTCGTGTGATACAGGTTTTGGCAAAAGAAATGTCCTGATGTTTTGTTTTGCTGTAACTATTAGTCGAGAAAATAGCCAAGCTCTGATCTGTTGCATTGGCCATAGGAGGGTCCATCTCAGCATGCTACACTTGTCAAGCTTTGGAATACATGTAGGTCGCAATACGGAGAGGAGGATGCAAGTTTCTTGCATTCCAATTGCCGATACATACAAGACAGCATGGGAATTTCTGGCAAGCTACAAGCCTAGCCTAACCCGACGTGAATGATGATGAAGGTGAAGTAAGAGAAAGTATCCGCTACTCGGTTATGTAGCGGCCACTAGGGTCTCGTGAGCATATTTCTCCATCAGTGGCAGCCCGGCTCGGTTTTCATAATCCACAACGGGCATATCAATCGCGTCTGCAGGGACGACAATCTCATCTTCGTTCTCATCGTCCGCAGCGGTAAACTCTTCGTTAAGCTCGGACTGCATGTCTTGTTCTGGTTCTCCACTCTCATCCAGAGCAATTTCGCCTTCATTGGCCGCATTGTCCGGATACTGGTCCACTACACCGTCTTGCGCATGCGCAGACTCGGTACCTGCATCTTGTGCAGCCTCTTCTTGGTCCTGGTCCCCAGTGGATGCGCTAGTCGGCTCCAGATTTTCGTTGCCGTCTACATCAGCCTCGTCCTCCATGTTGCGTTCTTGATCCTGATCGTGTTCTGCAGGGGAAGAGTTGGTGTCACCCTGCATCAGATCATATAGGTACTGATCGACCTGGGCGACGAACTTATCTGGGATCTGGCGCAAAGTGTGGCCACGCATCTTGCGGAGGGCCACAGGCTTTGCGGGCTTGGTAGGCTTGGTAGGCTTCGAGTCTGTGGTCTCAGCAGCTTTGCGGCCAACAGCCTTTTTAGTAGCAGGTGCTTTTGCTGCCGTCTTCGGTGGCCGACCGCGCCTGGCTGGTTTTAGAGTAGACTTTTCCTTTGACACCTTCGCTGGTGGAACACGCTTAGTGCGTGTGCGCGGGTTGAGACGAGCGGCGACAGCAACAGGCTCTGTTGGCTTGGATCCAGCCGCAGCCCATTTACTAACACGAGGAGAGCCAGCGACCGTCTTCAAATCGAGTCCCTGAGATTTGGGGGGACGACCACGTCCTCGAGGAGTTTGCGCCAGTTCAGCGACGACCTCTTTACGAGGACGACCTCGAGGCGCTGTCAATGACTCTTTTCCGATCTCTGCAATATCTGCGGCCTTTGCGACCGCGACCGCGTTTCGTCGATTCGGAAACGTCCTCAGTCGTGGCTTTGGCGGGTCTACCGCGTTTTCTCGGGGATTCTGTAGCATCTTGAACCGCGTCATCCACATCAGCTTCTGCTGGCCGGTCTCTCTTCTTTGTGGGCGATGTGATAGGGGGTTCCTCCGCTGGCGCGACCTTGCGACTGGCACTGCGCGCATTCTTGACTTTGAGCGGCATGTCGCGTTACTTGTGCAGCGCGACCAATGCGTATCGAACTCAAAAGGCTTTGGGGTGAAGTTGGAAGTTGTGGACAGTAGCGCGACAATGTTGGTGTTCATTTAACGTTGTTAGAGGGATGGTGGTCCCTCAACATACCCATTTGGGAATGCGCGCTAATATCCCATTCACCCACGTTACATCATCTTGATTGTACATTCCCTCACCTTACGCATTGCGCTCTCTCACCTTGTGCATTTTACTGTATATCAATAAGCCCTCTTACCTATTGTTATTACTCTAGGCAAGTCTAGCGCATATATCCATGGTTCCAGTCCTTATCGGACGAGGATAGCGGGACATAGTGCGATAACTTACTATGTAGTATAAGGAGACAGGTAAGCTTTGCCCACTCATCGATGATTGAGTACGACCCATGGCTATTGGATCATATGCACACAGTCGTATTTCACATCTTGTCATCGTCAGGCTTTCATCAGGCTTCTGTCACAAAGCCCTGTCCTAGTAACAAACAACAGAGACCCGAATGTCAAGCCCCTTTAATTTACTGAACAACTCATCAGGAACAATGTTGAAATACAAACCCCTTGTAGTAGAATCCTTCTCAGCCGAAACGATTTTGACGAACGAAAAGATGGAGCTTGCGGAAATCCAATACCCCAAAGATAATCCTGGCGCGTTACCGTCCATCCGATGTGACCATGGTGTTCAGTAGCTCAGGAAGAGCAATTCACCATCTTGTTGCATCTAGCCCGGTATGCCTCAGAACAATTCCTGGCTAACAGAACGTCGTCTCGCAATACTGCATGTGCAGTTCTTCTCAACTGTTCCTAGGTGGGAGCACATGCGGCTAACCTCGCGACCGACAGCCTTGTACCGGGCATGGTCAGTGCGTGAGCATGGTCAGACAATGAGCCACCCCACCAAAAGTAGCATAGTAATCCATTATCTTCAACACCACATAACTCCACCACCATAGATCCGATTTCAAAAGCGATTGCAGCAATCGATTCGCAAGGCCCAGAAGGACAAATCTCGTACCGTAAAGCTGCAAAAATCTTTAGTGTTAACCGCAATACGTTGGCGCGGAGACACCAAAACAAAACTCAGTCACGTGACGACGCGACACACCAACGCCAACTACTCAGTCCACCACAAGAATCCGAGCTTATAAAATATATACATGACTTAACTGAGCGTGCTCTTCCACCCACTAGATCCATAATTAAAAACTACGTATCAGTCATTACAGAATGGGAGCCTTCGGACAGCTGGATTTCCTAATTTCTTCGTCGACACCGCGATCATCTTACTACTAAATTTGTGACTGGGATTGATCAGGAGCGTCACCAAGCTAATAATATTGATAGTTACCAATCGTATTTCGAACTCCTTCGTGCTAAGATCGCTCAGTATAACGTAGAGCCACACAATATTTATAATATGGATAAGAAGGGGTTCCTTCTTGGGGTTGCAGAAAGGTCTAAAAGAGTGTTTTCAAAACAACTTTAAGACCAAAAGAAAGTTACAGCAGCCTTGCAAGATGGTAGCAGAGAGTGGATAACAGTTTTAGCTTATATCTGTGCTAATGGGAGCTGGATTAATCCTACGATTATCTTCAAAAGAAATATCGGTCTTCGCGAGCGATGGATACAGGACTTAGAGGTAGATAAACACAAGGTTTTTTGCTCTACAACTGAGTCTGGCTGGAGTAACAATAAGCTAGGAAAGGCTTAGGTTAAACAGGTGTTTGACCAGAAGACAAAAGGGAAAGCAAAACGAGACTACAGACTTCTTCTGCTCGACGGCCATAGAAGCCACGTTACTCCATCCTTCATCGATTACTGCAACTCCCATCGAATCCTGATTGCAATCTTTCCCCCCCATACGACTCACAGTCTTCAGCCACTCGACGTGGTGTTATATTCTCCTCTGTCGACAGCTTACTCGAATAAACTATCCGACTTCCTCCGCCGCTGTCAGGGGTTACTGCGCGTGCAAAAAAGTGACTTTATAAGCTTATTTTGGGCGGCATATACGTCGACTTTCACATTTAAGAATATTACAAGCAGCTTTGCGGCTACTGGAGTTCATCCACTCAATCCAGAAGTTATACTCCAACGCTTCAAAATCTCAACACCACAACAAGATATAGATACAGAAGTTAGAGAGCATAGAGACGGGGAAACTTAGAGACAGCTGTCTAAGTTGTACGACGCTGCTGTCCCAGATAAGTCAAAAGTTGAAGCCAAAGAGCTAAAACAGGCACTCCATTCACTTCAGGTCAGAAATGCGCTACTCCACCATGAAAACGAGGAGTTACGCAGTGAAATAAACGCCAAAAAACAGAAGAAAAAGCACAATCCAGTTCTAGATCTTCAGCAGCACCAAGAGTATCAAAGTTTGGCGGTAGTGTGGAGTCCTCACTCAGTACAAGAAGCTCGGGCTCGTAAACACGCAAAACAACAAGAAGCTAAGGCAGAAAAAATCCGAAAACAAGAGCAAAAAGAGATTAAAGCTGCTGCTACTGCCTATAAAAAAAGGATTGCAGCAGAAGCAAAAGAAGCCCGACAGTTAGCACGGGAGGCACGAGTAAAGGAGCGGGAGGCGAAGGCTGCGCAACTCGCGGCTGCCCGGGCTCAAAAACAACAAGAACGCGTTGCTGCAACACCAAAAAAACTTCAAGATAGAGGGAATAAAGGCAAAAGAAAAGCTTCATCAAGTCAAATATCAAAAACAGCTAAGCGTCGTGGTGTTGCGGATGATCAGAGTGGTGGTGCGTCTGCACCGCAGCCATCCGAGCCCTCTACCAAAACCACCACGCGCGGCCGCAAAATCAATCTTCCAAGTAAATATAAGTAGACAGCCATCAAATATATCATGATCTTACTACTCCACCAAAAAATCTCACAATATTAGCTTTTGTATGGGGCTTAGAAGCTTCGTTTTTTGGTGGGCGCGCATTTTGGTGGGGTGGCTCATTGTCTGACCATGCTCACGCACTGACCATGCCCGCTATGCCCCTAAGCGAGAATTCTGCGGACCATCCCCACAACGCAATCTCCACGACCAGAGAAAACACAAATGCCTCACCGCCGCTGAAGTCCAGTTGCTTTGTAATATATTCTTTTTTGGCCGTCTTTCTTCCATCAAGTCACATGAGCACCTTGTTCCTAGCATCGGTGGTTTAGTGGTAAAATTAGCCGTTGCCATTCATCTGTTCAATTGATACAATTCAATGGACAGCTTGAGCTGTTTCGGCTAGCCCCGGGTTCGATTCCCGGCCGATGCATTTTGCTGCCCTGCAGTCCTAGTGGTGTGCTGCCTAGTGGTGTGCTGGGTGCTCGTGGGATTGTGCTGTGTGAATGTCCTCTTCACAGCCAACTTTTTTGCCAGTCTGGGCAGAGTGTGACCAACGCTGTCAGATCCTCAGCTACTGTTTCTGTTTGTTCCTGGAGCCAAAGAATGGAAGATCAATTCAGCAGCGAAGATTTGCGATTCATCCTGAAGATCTTATTTGTCCTCTCTGGGTGACGCTCTTTACAGTTACTGTAATTAATTCGCATCAGATCATGTACACATCCATCTTCTCTGCCTCTTCAATGGAAGCAGTGAAGCTGGATAGCTTGAAAATGGTGTGTTAGTTGTCACTGTGTGCGTGCTGTCCAGAAACGTGGAAGCGGATCGCCCAGACGCTGGCTATTGATGCTCTAATTGACAGTTGTACCGTACATAACAAGGTCATGGCTGCAGATGATACAGGAATACGTGAACACTTGAGGGTCGTGGTAGAACGTATCGCGCACTTGCTCGATGGCACGTGGAAGCTGAGTTAGACTTTAGTTAACAAGACAAAGTAACTTCAATCTCTCTGCTCTATCCCCGCTTAAGCTTTCGCAGATACTACTGCACTTGCTTTTCTACCTTCATTAACGTACTTGGGAACTTGATCTTGCTCAGATAGTCTGTTCAGGGTTTGTTCCACGTCATAATAATAGATCCAATCCAGAGCCTCGTTGTAATGCCTCTTGGCGAAATCAACCCAACTTGCTTCCCATCCATCTCTTTCGGCTACTGATTGGCCCCGAGCACGCATATCGGCTAGAATTCTGCACCTACTTAAAGTCAGTAATTTTGAGAAGTAGGACTAGTTGCCAGATATCAACTCACAGTTCTTGGTAGAATGGTCTTCTGGCAGCGTCGAAAGCCACAAAAGCCTTGGAGATAGGGTCTTTGGGCCCAGACTCCAAGTGCCGAGCGAGCGCATTCCCAAATGTCCAAGCATCTTGCAGACCAAAAGTAGCCCCCGAGCCAAAAGCACCTTACACGCTGGCAATAACCAGAGTCTAAATAGACATAGGATTAGCTGCATCCCCAATCAGAATGACAGTTTTCCCCTTCACACTAGATGACCAACTTGGACCTGCGAAAGCGGCCAATAATTCACGAGCAGTTCCCAGAGGCAGTCGAGCGGGGTATCCTCAGGCCAGATGATGACATGCTTCTCTTTTTGACGTTATTAACACTGAAACAGCATTGGAAAATCTCTTGGAAGCGAGGAGTTGGCCAGGAGTGTTGTTGGCCAACACATCGATCCTTTGGAGTCGAAAGAAAGGAAATGACTAATGAATTTAAAGACTCAGGAGCCCAAAGCCTTTCCAGCATTTGGACGTCCGTGAACTCAACGCCCGAAACTGAACTGAAGCTACAATACACATACCACAATTGATTCGACCTCTCATCCCCTACAAGAGCTCTGTTTCATAAGTCTGCGTCATAAGTTGCTAAATTGGTTGCTGGGGATATTTAGGCTACGCTGTACTGAAGCCATCACTCTTACAAAATTGAATGCTTGTTGGATGTCCTTCATGCCTCGCCGGCATCGCGAAGCTACTTCATAACAGTTGCGAATGGTAATTAGAAGCCACCATGAGAGAATAACCGGTGTGTTTGATAGCGATGCCCGAAAGTTCAAGACGTCAAGTTGGCGATTTATGATGGTAATAAGACGTGTATCACCTTCACTTTCCTGGCGGCAACAGGCGCTAATGATATCCGACGTTCATTTCACATAACATATAAAGCTGCTGAACCTGACACACATGATGAATAGGTGGCGAATATAGGCATTAGCAACTACTACCATTTTGTCCCGACGTCCTCAGCATAAGGTAGAAATTTCAGTCAACGAGATGCATGTTTTCAACTTTACCATTTAAGGTCTTTGCCTTGTAGCGCGTGTGCGCATGTGGACCATGACCCACTTCAATTCCCTTTCTACTCCACACCACCTTACACATATTCGCCGGGGCCTAGTGAACAAGCTCACGACAGCTGAGCGAGCGGTTCAACCTACTTCAAATCTTTTGACTCGGCGTCGCGCTTACGTGGCATGAGGCGGTATTTTGCTTTACACTCGCTTCTGCAGGGCGCTTGGGGCTCTTTCAAGTTGTGCAAGAGACGACAACAGTTTGTTCACATTATTGCGAGCTTGATGGATAGGAAAAACGCGTGGATTGACTATGGAAACAGTTGAAGAGCCGCTTCTATTGCATTGCTTGCTTCTGCAATGTTGCTAACTTGACTGCTGCTGTTGGCGTCTCGCAGCGTTTCCGCGGTAGGGTTCATAGCTACTGTAGGGCTCTCGGAATTGCGTTGCTAAGTTTGTAAGTATGTCGTTCATGGCAGGGCCAGATGTTGAAGTCACTCACTGCGCGACGTTCGATAGGTCAAATATCCCAGCAAAAGCTGAGCGGCGGCCATGGTGATGTTAACGACGCCAAGGGTGATGTTCGCGATGGTGTCTCCACTGATTCCCCCGGCGCTACTGGCACGGGCTAGCATAGCAGGTGCAGTGCAGTTCATTTTGTTCGATATATCGAAGAGGACGGATTGACGACGATGTAGAGTTGGCCTTGTTCACGCAAGCAATAAGAGGCGATGTTGCGCTGTCTTCTGTGAGGGAGCATCAGCTTTATGAGCGAACATACGGCCATTAGAGCGTTGCGCTCTTGCCCAATTTCCCGTGAAATCCAAAGCAATTCGACATTGCAAGTGGATACACTGCGAATGGAAGGCGAATATGAAGAGTCTATTGTAGCGGTCAAAGTTGCCGTAAGAATTCCACAAGATTGTTCCTGATTTTCAACAGGGAATTGCGGTCAACTGATATCGACACAAGAAATATGTATATGTCGGGCCTACCGGCACGGTCCAAGCGGGCAACCAAAAATAAACAATGAGTGGACAGCCACCAGCAAATGGGCGCGACAATGACTCGGTGCTCCAGGATGAAACGTTTTCTTTGCGTAGCGCTTCTACGTACGTACTGATGCTTCGAGGCCATCTTCGGTTTGCCCTCACCCAGGGTACATCACGCCGCGCGGATCCGCCTGCGGCCGATGCCAGGACACTGTGCCTTGGTCCAACTCTTTCTAATTTTCATGAATTCAGAAACTGTAGCTGCGGTTTGGTGTTGCGAAGCCATCTGGCGTCTGAGCGGCGACATTTCAGCTGACGGATTTGCACGCACCTTATGATCTGTGCGCGCCGCTAGTAGACTCCCCCGCAGCTACGTACAGGCGGAGGCCAATGCGGCCCTGCAACACGGCCTCTGAGGACATCGCAGAACACCACCAACACAGGGGGTATCGACGACACAGGAGATTGCTTTTACATTTTGTAATAGAAATCCGGATTCTGCGGGCATATCTGGCCCTCTGAGCACGACGCGAGCTTGGCAGCATACAAGTAACATGGCCCGTCACGGTGCCGTGAGAGTGTAGGATTAGGTCTGATTATTCCAAAACCATGCCCTTGCCCTAACCGGGGTGCCGCTAACACAATACACAGTTCAATACACAGTTTTAGTTCTACTTGAGTGGACAACTTTTTTTCACTTCACCTGGAGCAAACCGCCAACGTTCTGCTCCAGGTCGCATATATAAACATCAACTGCTCGCCCATGGCTTTCTCATTTTCCACACGAGCATCAGCCCGTTCTATGCTCGACCAAAAGCAAGCCATCGACGCATTCCATCATTGACCATCCATCCCACGCTACTGAGCCTGTCGCCGATCCACCATGATGGATCCTCCGACCCCACAATGCCATTGTTGTCATTGTACCTTGAGAAGGGACTTGATTGCACAGCTCGCCGAGGGTTGCACTCGTATGCTTGCATCTCCATCACCGTCATTACCATACTTAGATTCTATCAGACACGGCCACTCGCAGCTGCACCGAACCTCCTGCCCATGATGTTACGCAGCACATTTACCATGTCCGCGCGCCCAACCAACTACACCACGAACACTTGGAGCTTTCTCAAGCCAACAACGCGCTGTCGGCTACGCTCACAAACTTGAACGCCCAAAGCACTACCTCGACTGCCGTGACTGGCACGCCCAACTCTCTGCAGTCACACGACCATGGCCGTCCACGCCAAACCACCACGAGGCGCGCGTCTTTTCCCGTGAGACATTGCTCTTGGTTCCATCCTTCCTGCGCTACGACTCACAGGTACCTTAAACACTTCGCCAACCACTACCGCGACAAGCACCTATCACATCACTGGAACTGGGTGAACAACGCCTACTGGTGCTGCAACATCGAGTTCTTCCCTGACGGAAAAGAGCTGATCGAACATGTCTGGGAATTGCACCTGGCTTTGTCCCACCGCTCTGTTACCATGGCAGGATGATGGGATGTGTGTACATATCCCATGTCCGGCACAACACCCCTCCCCGTCCTATCTACACTGTGGCTGGGCCACACCTTGATAGACTACTTATGATTTCCTTCATTATGGTCCTACCCTACCTGAGTAACAATGTTACATCTTCGCTTTCTTGTAATTTAGCCAAAGACTCGTACACAAACCTGCTCGTCAATGAGTACCTTCTAGTTCCCAAAAGTAAGAGCAATGTTGTCAAGATATGACCATGGAATTTGAAACTACTCATGCCATTAATATTCAACTTTCCCAGATGGCAATACCATAGACCTTATCGCCGTAAGATATGCGCGAAAAATGTTGCCATTTTGTCGTAGATGTGGTACAATGACCAAATCTATAGGATTGAGAATAGCGGTGCGCGAGGAAAGAGCGACTCCACATATCACATCTTTTGTCAAGCGCCAAAGTTTCCAAGGCTTCAATGCCCACTCCGTTTCCAGTAAAGCGAACAGTGTCATTGACTAACTAAATGAACTGGACATCTCTAATCTTCATGATATTTGTCTGAGGCAATGGGCGACATGCGCCTCAAAAATAATGAGTTTTTTTGAGA